GGTCTCGAGTAGTTGTTCAGTTAGTTCCACTGCTGCACGTAGACACCTCACGCACGCAATATTCAATACACTAATGCGTTTTATTTTTCTCGTTCAGATTCATCAGTAAAATCAACATTACAATATAAAGCTCGTCGTGTTCTACAGTGATGTTCGTATAGAAAATACAAATCCATTAATAAATGTCTATTTCGAACCTCGCTATGCCCAGAGTTCGTCATTTTGTAGTATCTCGCGTGGATATCGCGGCTTCAATCCGTCTGTTTACGTTAAAACAACAACTCTACATATATCGGGAACCTTGGCTAGAATGTATGCTATTTTTGACTATTCTCAACGCTGAATAACAATAATATCAACCGGACGATGCGAAATAGTAAGCCAAATTTCGGATATTATATCGAACCTGTTCGTTAAACCACCGGTCACTATTCTTCTACGCAATAGATTAATTATTGTTGTTATGTTTGGCAATCGGTCGTTTCCGTTTTTTTTCCTCGTTCTAAACTATGCAGTTCCATTTTGGTTATTATTTTTAACATCCTGTTATGGTATACCAATCGTTTGGAAAAGGTCACAATTCGTTGGGGTGGTGATAATATAATAGTTAATACCCTTTTAAAATATAAATCGATTGGCTACTGAAAATGGGACGGTTAAATTTATACGGAAATATAGAAAGTGTATAGCTGGAAAATAAAAATAATACTATATTATTTTTTTTTGAGCATTGGCACAACCATTGTGATACTTTTTATGAGTATGCATACAAATCCAACCTAGATAGACTTGAAAATTATTCAATGTAGCGAAGTAGTTGTTTGTACATTTTGACAAACAGCGAAAAAAAAGTTATTCAATTTACGAGAATTATATAACGATTTTCAACCAATTATTATGGTATAAAATAAAATAATAAAAATTACAATTAAAAATTATTAAATGGTTAATACTTGTAAATTTATATATAAATAAATGAAAAAAATAGTTTATATGTATAAATAAATAAGTAAATAAATACAAGTTTAGCCTGGAGTATTATTATATTAGTAAAGTAGGATCCGTTTCGTATTAAAAATTCATCATGGGTTATATATAATTTTATTATCAGTATATATACCCGATGATAAATTTTTGATTCGAAACCAGTCATACTTTACAAATATAATAATACTCCAAGCTAAATTTTAATTTATTTATTTATTCCTGTGTATAAACTATTTTTTTATTTATTTATATGTTAGAGTGTTCTTAAAATGTTTGAAACACTACGTGAAGGTTTTTTTTTTCCGCCAAAAGCCTACAAAATTCTGCCCGATGAATTATATAACCTAGTGAATGTCGATTAGAAATTAATAGTTGAATATCGGTTTTTATAAATAAAAATGTATGGAATTTGGACAAGTTCAAACATTTAGCGTAACGGCCAGTTAGTTAAATTAACATTTTTCACACGTACTTTTTTCATACAATATATTTTATCATTTAAGTATAAAATAAATATAAAGCTGTTTTGATAGTATTTTGATAGTATTTTTGTACTATCTACAGGAAGTGGTAAATTTAATCGACAAATTCAAACGATTTTCGTATTTTTATTGATAATGTACATACTGAATTTGAAAATTTTGGACATGAGAAATCTTACCACGTTGCCACTGGCGTGTTGCCAGTTATAACAACAAAATTATGAGCTACGAACTCGCCGTCAAAAAAAAAAAAAAAGATCCAACAATAATGTTTTAATTTGGCATCACTTCCTACAATGCATCATGTAGTTATAATATTAAATGACTGATAAAAACAAACACACAAGGAGTTGTGGGTATATTTTTACGAGGTAGTGGGTACATATTATTTACATAAGCTGTGTTATAATGGATCGAAGCTAATTTTATAGTGGAAATTGTCAATGTTCACATAAACAGATGCGACAACCGTTGAAAATAAAATTAACCCCACCTCCTGAGAAATTATTGTTTGCTTGTTTATCATAAAGCATTTTCTTTTCGTGTTGTAATTTAATTAAATTATATGTCTATGGTTCATGAAAATTACCGAAATAATAAAATATTAGGAATTTCTTTTGCATTTCTACGCTAACTATTAATTTCCGTTTAAAATAGACAAGTTCACCTATTAAAAGATCTAACATATGAGTATATAAGATACAAGAATACTTCCATAGTTTTAATTTCAGATTAGATGTAATAGTATGTTTTTTTGTTCGAATTCAACTTTTCTACATAATAAATGATTTTTAAATTAAGTATTTTAAATTATATTTTGTATGCATACATTCTAATTTAATACAGTAGTATATACATAGAAGAATATTTTAAATTATAAAAGTATATCGTCGTTATTCATGTTTTTCCAAAACAAAGATTTTTTTATTTTCGTTGTGTTAAAAACTTAAACTAAAAATATTACTTTTAACAGGTTAATACACGTTGCTACCAAATTTAACCGGTGCCTAAAGTAATCGAAAAATGTAAAAACCGTCGGAATTATATAAAATACCGCAAATTTTCGCACAAAATCTATTATAAATATTGGACTGATATTTTATATGAACGTGAAATTTATAGCTGTGATTAAAAAGAACATTAAGTTATTATTGACTTTATATGCCGGGAGAATGTTTTATGGTTATATTATGTAGACAGGTAGATACATATACCAAAATACCTTACCAGATAGATAGTTTTAAATTATATTGTATATTTTATTGAAATAATAATAATTTCAAAAGGTTAGGTGGGGTGGATCACGAACAGTTTTGGTTTGATAAAAAAAGTTAAACTATGTTTTAACATATAAAGAATTTTATAACATGCGAGTTATGGTCAAATGTCAGTTATTTATTTTTTATAATATTTATTTTTAACTAATGAAATAACACTAATATTTTAAACTATATGTATATTATTAATTTATTTATTCACCTAAACACATAGACTAATAAATAAAGAAGATAATAAATAAAATAAGCAATTAATAATTAATAAAAAACTAATAAAACTAAAAAACCATATTATATAACTTTTAATAGAAATTAACTATAAGTATATAAGTAAGTAGTGTATTTATATTAGTAGTTAAATAATTAAAAAATCATAATAATTGATAAAAGCGAACATTAACCTTCATATTTTGCATATTCATTTATTCACACTATATATTTTAGGAATTATAAATAAAACAGATTTGGCAAATTTTCATAAGCTTTCAGATAAATATTCTAAAAGTCATTGTTATCACATATCAGAAAAATTAAATACCAATCGTCTGTTAAAAATTATTTGTTTGTTTGTTAAATATCAAGCGTAAAAAATAATTTATAAAGCATTTATATGAACCTAATAATTCAGATGTCAATGATTTGCATGAGATGTAATTATATTTTTAATGCCTTATTTGTGATGATTTTTCATAATATACAATATTTGTACACTTACGAGTATATTATGTAATTTGAGAGAGAATAAAAATTACCTATACTTAAACTAAGAATTTTGAACTAATATTTTAATTTTAGTTGTGGTTGTAATAGGCATATCAGAATTGATATTAAGAAGGTAACGGTTAAGTACGAATTATCAGCATTCGTTTCAATTTAAATTATTTTTAAGTAAACCATTATTAATTCAAAGTTTCAAACGCTAAAAATTATGTAAAAACTGTATTATTAATATTTAAATAGAATAAAAAAATATAATAAAATGTGAAAGTTTTATAAAAATATATTAATTTTTAAAACTGAAATAGGAAATTTCAAAATTAATTATTACAAAAAAAAATTTGTTTTGCATTTTAACAATTCGAAAATAAACCATTCAACATTTCAAGTTTGTAAAATACATTTTTTTAACTGCAAAGATTTACATAAAATTTAAAATTGGTGTTCAGCAGTTTTTACACTTTTATCAATGATTCGTCAATGTTATGGAAAAATTAATTTTTTGATAATCAAACTATATTTTGCGGATTGAAATTTTATATTCTTATTAAACAAACTATACGTGAACAAAAACCTTGATCTGGTTTATAAGAGATCGAGACATAAAATAAAAACAATGGTAAGAAATATAATGCAAGGTACTTTTAATATTAAAGCCACTTGATAAATATACTTGATATAAACTTGAATTTAGTGTTTCCTACTGACACTTGATAAATGAAAAACTTTAACTTCTTGTAAATATACATTTTTCTATAACAACTAAGCGTATTACAACATACCAAAGAAAATTATTATATTTATTTTATTTTTTTTAGTATCTTATTAAAACAAAATTTCACATATCGTAGGGTTTTACATTTTTAAAAGCCAATAATAACTGTTTTGATCGTATTTAATAATTAGGTAATATTTATTAAATAATTATATAGTAATATACGACTAAAATTACGATTTCATATCAAAATTAGAATAAATGAGTTGAGTATTTACTGTGTACAATACATAGTATATTTTTAAAAGTGTATATCATTTTTTAAAAATAAAAATAAATTCTTATTTCACCTTTAATGTGACTAAAATAAGTCGAAATAACATGATAGACAAACTAAGCATCAAACTAAAATATGAAATTGGTCGGTTTTAATATGTATTCTAGTCTTCAAGGTTCCTATCGAGGTTCGAGTCAAAATTTTACCTGGGCTAATGCAATGGAGAGTGTACGTACGTACATGATAGTACGTATATTATGAATAAGGGATCTGAATTTTTTTTTTTTTAGTTTTTCAAAATAATTCTCTTATGATGTTATTTATTTAAAATATCATCAAAGTTCCGGGAATTGGTATTATGGCAGATGAATGAGCGGTAACACGATAATGGGTTACATACATTAACGTTAATTTACTTCTCATACTTTGACGTAGTACAAATATAAAAACTACACGAAATCCCTGAATATTTCTCCTTAAGAAACGATACATTTCAGCCCACTTAATTGTTACCAAAATTATAAAATTTAAACAAAGTTACTTACCATATGAACAGCTGACAATAATTTAGTGCCCGTATGGGACGTAAGCGTTGAATGCCTAAAAACATAAATTAAATTTCATAAATTGTAATTCTTACTAGGTTTTCTATTTGATTATATACATATGAAAATAATTATTTTGGCAACAACTTTTTTGTCAAATAATTATTTATTAATGTCGAATAAGATTCAATTAGACAGACAGAAAATATTTTCAATTACTATTAAAACAGATATTATTATTTTCAACAAAACATCCAAGTTCCAAGTTTTATCCTTCGTCCTAAAAATAATTTTTTAATTTTAATTTTAATTTTTAGATCGTCAACCAATGTATCTCAATCTTATGAATTCTATTGATTATTATATACATATTGAAGAGTCTGTCGATAAAAAATAAGTGGTCGTACAAATATTGAAAATTAAGTTGTGTAAAAAAAACGTCAAACTTCTCATATTTCTAAAACGACACAGTTGGATTACACAGTGGAATAATTTAAAGTAAACTAAACAAAAATATTAATTTTTTTTTTTTTTAATTATATTTCATAATTAATATTATTATACAAAAAAAATTATAAAATTACCAAATCGATTAGATAATTTTGAATCTAACCTCTTAAAGTATATAAATATTATAACTTTTAAGCTGATCATAAACTAAATAATTAGTGTATGTATTTGATTTTCTATTATAAAAGGGGTGAATAAATTTCTTTGCTTTAATAAGATTCTATACGAATCATAAAAAAATGTCCAAGTTAAAAATCACAATGATTCGAAAAACGTTCATAATAAAGATATACACATGTAATATGTATCAGTACGAAACACCATGATCTAAAATCTACGTACATTCCATATTTTCTATCAAAATATTCTTCAGAATATAAATGATAGTGCATTATACATTTTAGAGAAAACTGTATCCAAAATCTGCAGGAATAGGTGCTTGAATATAATAACCTTTGTGTGTATTACATTTTTTGTATGATAATTCTACGAAAAATCTCGAGGAACATAATATTCACCTAAGTATTTTTAAAGTGAAATAAAAGTTTCTGTGATAAAAAGTTATAACGTACAAATTGTAACAAGAAAATTAGGTTTTTTTTTTCTTTATTATAACTTTTTTCACACAATGACGAACATAACCAGTTATTTTTAATACACATGCATTCAATATACCTACACAGTATTTAATAAAATGTACAGTACAATTTTGTATACAAATAAATATGATATCCAATACAAACAAATATAATTATAATTATGTGATAAATACTGGAACGGTAATGTAATACGAAGATTTATACTTAAAGAAGAATAAATCGACTGATGTTAAAGCCAATATATTATACTGAAAGGGTTGATAGACGTTTTAATACCAATAAATATTTGTATAAGATTCACCTGAAGGAAAATGATCTACTGAAGATATTGGAATTTAACGAATAAATAAATATACTTATAGATGATTGATGAAAATATTTTATGAATAACTTACTATAACGTAAAAGTATTAAGCATACGATACCATAGGATTTTTTTAATAATATGAATTTTATTTATTAAATAGGGATACAATAGAGTACCCGACATAAATATTATCAAGATCTAAAATTGTTGTCCATTTAATATTTATCCCCTCAGCAATTACTACAGCTCCTTCCTTTTAAAAATATGCTATAAATTGTACGAAAAAAGCTCGAAAATCTACTCAAAATAACCATTCATTAAGATTTATCATTAATGTAAATTAATAAAATTATTTATTTTAAGCCCCAATCAATTAAAAACGTTAAGAATGTTGAAAATAAGTTTATTCGATAATTGTATTAAATATAAAGATAATAAATTTTTCTAATTATTTATTTAATTAAAAATTAAGTAGAAATAAAATAATAAATCATAATACAACATATTATTAAGTTAAAATAATCGGTAAGGTTCATAATTTATAACTTATTTTAATTTGATTTGATGATTATATCCTTATTATCTTTCTTTCTCGGAACAAATATCTTTTATATTTACAAGATTCAAAGAATTAAGTTTGTACTAATTATAAATTTCATACAAGTTCCAAATCGCATACTACAGCTTTTAAAAAACAAATATTTAAATATAATTTTAAATTCATACCAAGCAAATGCACCTGAGTCGGAATTAAATTTATTAATATCTCGCGCCCAAATGAATCCATAATATGTAGGTACAATTATATAACTATATAATTGATTGCCGTTTTATGTCGTGTATTAATGTATTTTCAAATTTTGGCAAACAATATAGTTCAGAGGTAGAGTTCAAAAAATATGTTATGTATATTTTAAGGCTTTTTCCTTGCACAGTTACACGCGTACATATACATGGTATAATAATGCATTTTCGGTTAACAAATTTAAATATGCATTATGTATACATTCTTGTGTTATGGACAAAGATCATCCAGACAGTGTACATAGTAATATTAAATTCGTGAGGTCTAGTGCACTTTGATCGGTGTTTTTGCGTTAGATCTTAAAATACTGTACTCTGACTGGGAACCATATATTTTCCTTATTTAAATCCTTTAAATTATAACTTCATGCAACATGTGCACCGAAAATCGATTGCAGAACGCGTATGGCCCATATGTAGGGGTCATCAATGTGCACGGAACGGATGGAAAAAAGAAATTATTTCAAGCTTTGAAATGAGGAACATAGACCGATTCAAAATATATCGTTTTATCTTGTCTGTGTATAATTTGATTTTTGAGGAGAATAATTATGTCCATATCCAATTTAAACAATATTGTTTAAAACCTCAATAGTTTTTAAAAATCTGAATCGTGTTTAGTGAAATAGATATACTAGACTATCGAAATAACAAAGATATGCCTAGAATTCTGATTTTTAATTATACGCTATCATTATTGATCAACAAATTATTTACTCATGAGTAGCCTAGAGTGTTGCTTTTACATTCTGGCAGTATAAAAGTAATATAAATCTTGTAATGAAGTATGAGCAATAAATTTATATAATAAATAACCTATATTCAAAAAATAGCTATTAATACAGTATTACCAATATCTGTAAATACTATTGTAATATATTATATACCTAAAAGAGTGGTAAAGAATAAACGTATCCTGTTATCTTAATCATTCTTTAAGGTATTCAATTTGAAAATAAATTTTCATCGGGAAATAGGGTAACTTTTTATTAACTCAATGAATTTGACTATTCGGACTGAGAAAAATCCTATTTGACTCGCAACATACACGATCACTCTTGCTGTGCTTAAGATTGATATTTTTTTATTGTCATTCGGTGTTATTTTGCACGAATTTTTGTAGCCGTTTTCGAAAAATCTGTAGGAGTATAGAAAGTCTTCACAAAAGGAACAACTAAGTGAACGATATTCGTCAAACACTAAAACCACCTAAATAAACAAAACTACAAAAATAATTTGTATAAGTTTATAAAAATTTGTAAAATATACCAATATTACAATAAAATTAAATCTCATCATAACGCGCGATTATTATGTTAAATTTTTTTAAAACTTTAAGTTGTTTATATTCAAGTTTCGTTGGGTAGAAAAAAAAATAAGCATTTAATTCACTATATTGTATAGTCTGAGCACGTTTCAAATTCAAATAAAATATACACAAATCTAGACCATAAGTCAATTACTTGTTGAATTGCTTTTGTTGTACCGATTTTCCATTTACACGTGAGAGATTATACGCACTATACCTTATATTGTTTTACCCGAAACCGTTGAAAACGCTTTATGTAATAAATTATAGTAAATCCTACAGTCACACTGTGAATCTTGAACGTATTACACAAGAGTCTGAGTATATATTAAATTGTTAATAACTGTCGACTCAAAGTTTACAATAGTAAGATAATACTCAGCCGGTGTGAGATTAATATTCATGATAGTCTAATTATTCATTTTTACTTGATTTAAAGAACTATTTTTGCAAACAAATTGGTACATAGAAATATTCAAGTGGTTAACATTTTTTGAACGTTGCATTTTATGGCGATTTAACCACATTTTTTTTTTCAATTACAATAAATACGATTTTAATTATTGAAGTAAATCTATAACTCTTTATTATTAATCACTATTATACACGTACGATAAACATATATCATTAGTATAATACTATAATTCATCGAATTCAATTATAAATTTAATGGGAATCATTTCAACGAAAAATATCATTAAAAATCATATCCAATGGTATTAGAAAAAAAAACTGAGGTACAATATTCACTGATCGTTACTTCAATCATTGTGATTTGTCATACAAACTTTGAGATATAACTTTTTATTTTTATTATTGTTTTTATTCTGCCATTATATGTAAATGTACAACTGAATTAAAATACATCCAAGTATTTTCAATATAATTCTGATCCCCAGAAAAGTATAGTTTTCTCATAAAAATAATATGTACAATATACTACAGATATTCATAGGTAACCAGTATTTAAGCATACTACATATATATATATATATATTGTTACATTATAGATGTAGTAAGTGAATAGCAGATGCAAAACCTATTGCCAACATAATTGAGGATAACGAAATAATAGCTTTTTTGAAAACCATCTTGAACTCCATTATTTTAATTCCATAAATAACAAACTAGGTTATTAAACTTATTTAAATGTTTAACACAATGATTTGGCTATTTTCCAGCCATGCACGTGGCAAGATTTTAAATATTTATTAATTCTTAATTTAGATTTTTAATTAAATCTAAATGCATTTCAATTGAATATTTTATTAACTAAAAACACATTACATTATACTTATATAATTATTATATATTTTAGAATACGAGTAAATCATAAATAACATTATATTTTATAATTACCATTTGAAAAATTATAATGTTTATATTTTAGTTACAAATAAAACTATTCAGTTATTGATGAATATAAATTTTTAATTCAATTATTTTTTTTTTTTTTTTATTACTCACGCGACAACAAATTTACTTTTTTCTTTATTCTAGTCAAATAGACAATAATTATTTTTTAACTTTGTTTATGTATACTCATAATTCAATAGTGTAATTAACTAGAAATAACTAATTTAATATAATATTATGCTTTTAATGGAATAATCAATTACAGAATATTGAACATAAATATACTGTAACACAACAGCGATACCGAACACGTCATATATATAATACATATAATGTATTGTATTTTATTTACTCATTTAGAATTTATTACTTAATATAACTGGTATTTCAACATAAAAAAAAAACATTATCACATTTTCCGACAGCAAAGACATTTTAAAGCAGACATTTGAAAAATAATATAAATAAAATGATTATATGTTTAATGAATATTTTTTTATCCTATTCGAGTACATCTAAAAATAGAGATATTTTATTCGAAAAACAAATAAATCTATTAGGAAGTCGTTTTAAAATTCTCATGTATTAGGTATATTTCCTTCAATAAAAAATTATAAAATGCAACAGTATTTAAAAAATTCTGATGGTTCATACATTATTATCTTCTAACAAATTATAAATTTAAAAAAAGTAAATGTTCTTTCTGTAACGTAACTTAACAAATGGTTTTCGTTATTTTCAATTAAATTTCAAAAATAATCAACCTATAGAAAAATATAAATTTTTTACTATACCAAAATATTCATGTTAATAGTACAAATATACATATATGTTACAGTGTCTTGATCAGTAAATATTAATAATCACTGAGCAAATATTATATTTGTTTTACGAGTTTACAGCAAGAAAGATTTTCAAGAAAATCTTTGAAAACACTTTTTGTAACAATGATATTTTTTTAATTTTAACATTCAGCGAATCATTTTTCTGAAATTTTCTGAAAGGAACTTATTCTTATCGAAAAATAATTATCAACCATGAAATACAAGTGATGTGTATTTTTAATTTATGAAAATTAACTAACTGATATATTAACTTAAGCTGAAAAAATCAAGAAAATTTACAATAAAACTATCATAAATATACTTGAAGACTTTAGTATTATTTACAGTCCTATAAATAATTCAACGAAGCATACAATATTTGAATTATACAATTGTTACGTAACATTTAAAAACGCAATGCATTATATTTATTCGGTAAAAGATAACTGTTTTTGGGATTAATTTTGCTGTTCTTCCTAAAAATGTGAACAACTCTAAACATGCTCATTCGTACATAATACACGAATATTATGCGCACAATGAGTTGAAAAACTACAAATTAAAATAATTTATTATTTAGAAAAGTGCGTAAAATGTTTGAAGAAATTAAGAAGTACATTTAAGTAAAATCGCTATAGTTTTCCGAAAACTAAAAGTTATAAAAGGTGTATATATGCGTGTATGCGTACGTATGCATGCACCGAAGAGAGACAAAAAAATAATTATCATGCGTGGCTTGTAGTGCATTTAAATTACTCATTTTGAACGTACATTTCTCGTCTCGTATAAGGTTCGAGGGTTTCGTATCATAATAAAATGTTAATGTCCACATGCCACGGGTCAACACTGTTACGAGGAAAGAGGACCGAGATAGTTTCGGCGGCAGCGACTATATTACACAAAAACTCGGTAGTTGCGTAAGAGGCGATTTCTGCGATTTCTGCGTATTATTATCATTATTATCATTATTATTAATATTATTATTAAGATAAACACGTATGGACGATACGAGAAAACGCTGCGGTGGTATGTACATTCGAGTCGGGTCGGTGCTTGGACGTCAGTCAGTTTTGATGGCTCTTAAAATTCGTAACAAACTATGCGACCGTCGTACACGACTTTTAACGAGTCGTTAAACTTGCTGAATCGCCATGCGAACCCCACGTTATTGAACAATGTACCGGACTTTGGGTCAGTATTTTTGGGCGATACACGACCAGCCGGTCGGAAGGATCGTTTTATCTATCCCGATTTTCCTCGGGTTACACATAGTATACGAAATGGTATTTATTATATTTCACAGAGAAGAAAAAATTATCGATATAAATATTTATTATTAATTACGTATTCATTTTTTTTTTTTATTCTTTTGTTTATACTGAGCTACAAAAATGTTGTTATTATTTTCGGTTCCTGCCCTGATATAGCATTTTAAATGCCTGCGCCAATGAACGTTTACAATGACAGTAAATATATCAATTGTGTTTATTATAAAAATATTGATTTAACGTTTTTTGTGTTTTATTAAAATAACAAACATAAGTCATATGCGAAAATTTTCCTTTAACATTATACATTAAATAATAAATAACTATCCATAGTTTTATTTTTGCTGCATATAACTTTCCCTCAAAGTTTGTGTTAATTTATTAATTCAAGATATGCGAGTATGTAACTTAGTCAGCCATTTAGTAGGAATAATCGATATGATAATTATTCTTTAGTATAAATATTATTATTTGTATACTCAATATATATATATATGTATAATATATAACTGGTCCGTTGTCCGCATCACAACTCCATTAATCTTTCTGATATGAATCGGATCGAATGCGATTTCATACAGTTAGTGAGAAAAATTCTATACTTAAAATAAAATTAAAAATCAAGTTTAAGCGGAAGTTTAGCAACAAAAATATTGAAAAAACATAAAAAATTAATCTTTAATTTGATTTCACGGTAATAAAATTAAAAGAAGTATTAAATAATATTTTATCACTGAAAACTGTACGCTTTACACAACTCAATGTTAGCGCATGCCATTAGAAACATAAGACTACAAAAATTCATTAACAATATTCCAATTCATGTAGACATTTTTTTTAATATCTATTCTAAATAATCAAATGAACTTTTATACCTTGTTGATTAATCCTTTCAGACATTAAAACTTATCAATTAGAAATTTTTGAAAGCATGTTTTTCGCAAACATAGGTACAAAAGGTTTGAAAGTTGATGATTTATTTTCAAATCGTATAGATTAATTTTATTTCATCGTAAAGTAATTGTTTTTATTATATATATATAAGGTCAAAAGTTTTTAATAACACCCCAGTACTCTGAGATATATTCACCATTAGAGCATCCTATATTTTTCTTATACTTAAGGCTACTTTTACGGTACCTTTACATCAAAAAACTATTTTGTGTTGTAAACGCGAAAATCCGAATAATTGTTATCGCGTAATAACAACGTCCGATTTATTATCGTGCAACATTTGAATATGTGCTGAAGATTCCATTTAGATGCTTTTGTTTTTGTTTAATTTAATGTCAAATTTTCGATGCAAAGCGAGCTTGGTGCGGTTTACTTTTTATGATACGGTATATCCGTAGGAAAAGTTTGAAAAAATTTGGAAAAACTTTCAAATTCAAACAGAACACGTTATTTAATGAATCTCGTGATAATACTTTGCTTTAGAATCGTTCGTGAAGATAACTCTCGGTCATGATACTGTTAACCACTGGAAATTCGTTGTATCGATTAATATTTCCAACAAGTTCCCAAGTTATCGAAAACCTACAGTACACCGTTTTTGGTCACAATCAGGTCGCCGTTTTTCTTTTCTTTTAAAACACTCACGTGTTAATTGAACCAGATTTCTCCGTGGTTTTGTTTCCCTCTTCTGTCGCCCGAAACGACCAATTTTCTCCCTACACCTTCTACAGACCGGTCGCTACGGCGCAAGAAAGCGATTTTAACGAAACTGAAACGGTAAAATCAGACGAACGTCGATAGCGAATAGTAATAATCACTTTTATACGTTTTTACTGTTAATCCCATTAGCTCTTTTCGATTCTGTAATTGTTAATGTTTCTAACGAAGAACGGTGACCAATTGGAGAGGATCGGAAAACAACGAGCTGCCCTCCCAGTGGCGTATTCAGGATTCATTTCATGGGGTGTTTTTAAATTTAATAGACATATGGTAGATAGGGACACCCCCCCTCCCCGTATTACATTAATAAATACCATGTATTTATATAAATGAAAATGTCTATATTAAGACAGTATATGTAATATCTACAAGTTGTTAACAACGTTTATTCAAATTATACTGTAAGTTCGCAATTTGGTGAAATACCATAAAATACGGTCGATGGGGGGATGTTATGATATCCATATCACCCCACCCCATCCCTATACGTGGAGGATAAATCAGTGGCGTCTGCGGACTTCTTTCGGTCCTCCGGCAACAGCATATCGCAATATACGGCCATTGCGACCTAGTAGCCACGGGCGGATCCTGCATCTATTTACGGTCAGGGCACTTCGTAGAAGAAAATTATACAACACAGCTGATCATAGACGTACGTTAGATATGTCTCGGAGAGGCTTTTGACTCACCCCTCGAAAAAAATAATATGACGATATCGTATTAAGACTGTCAACATTTGTTTTGCCTATCAATTATGTAATTCTTCCGAATATATTTAATTTTTAAACATGATTTTTTTTCCAACGGAGATGGCACTCTCCCCCCAGTTCCCCCATGGATCCGCCCACGACCGTAACCCGTAGGCTGGTACCTACCGCGTACGACTGTGCGATGCGCGACGCGGCCGACGACTCCTTGCACGTGAAGTGGTAGATGTCACTGACGGCCGCCGTGGACAGAAAACGTGGTCACCGGTGTACGCGCGGGGACGGACGATCGGACGACGCGCCGGTACACACGCACACACGTTCATGGGATCACGTTTCGCAAACGCGCGCGCACACGATGGCTCGTAAAACGGACACACGCCCGCGCGCGCACACGTTGGCGCACGTTGGCTCCGGTGGCCGGCTACGAGCAGCAGTGGCAGCGGCGGCCGTGAGACGTCGGGACGACTGACGCGAGTCGACGGGACTAGTCCGACCGCCGCCGAACGTGCGCGCCACGTATCCCGCGGCGGCGGCGGCGGACAACAAGTGCTTCTTGACCGCGGGCGCTTGCGTGCGCGCCCCCCCCCCCCTGCCGTGAGGTGCGTTCGCGCGTACACCGGGCGTCGTTTCGGCCGTCATCGAATGAGACGCACGACCGGTGCTCGTGGCCGGGTGTCCGGCCACGGTCTCGGGTACCCGTCCGTTTCCTTCGGAACGGCGCCGGAAACGGTAATCGCGCGCGAGCCCTCCGGCCGACGATCACGTTCCACGTTTTTCGTCTGCAGCGGCTAACGTACATGTTTGAACGGAAACCCGTTGACGCGGTTCCAACGACCGCGCGGCGGACGAAACGTTTCCCCGAGCTGTTATTCTCCTTTGTGCGGGAAAATCGAAACCGGTTCGGTCGCTTCGTTTTTTGAGATTCCTGTTTACGTTTCGCGTACGGTGCAGTTGGTAATATTTTTGCATTTCTCATTTTTGCCTTCCAACGACGTTTCATCATGATTCATTAGCGTAAATATTCTGTGTGCCCGAAATTCGACTAAAACGGTTGGCGATCGTTTGAAAAGTTTAAAAGTTTCACTTCTTTCTTCGGAGGAGGTGAAGATCTTGAGAAATAATTTTGTTGATACGTTGCGGATAAATATTAAGAATCCATTTTCTTTGTTTCGTACAGTTTTTTGTATACTTATTAGAAAATTAACAATAAATAATAATAAGTATACAAATTATTAAATTATTAAATATAAAGAAAAACGTTTCGTATTAATTTAACATTTACCGATTAATCATAAACGCGTACACGTAGGATTTAAATTGATTCGTAAAAGACCGAAAAATAAAAAAAAACGATCTCGGACACGTCTTAAATGTACATCGTACGTTTCACCCATTAAACTTAGGATTGATCAGCGATCGGTCTTCGACCGTAACGCATATTACATCCTCATACGTTCTAGAAAATTCCAATAAATGTCGAAGAACGATATGTTTATTCGGAAATCCAATTATATCGAACATATTTTTGTGAGATGTGTAAACATCCAAGTGCTCCAAAGACATAAGACGCAATTATTTTTCTAAATATAATCGTACCGAGCCGAAAGGGTTGCTGTCCGTCTAGTAATAAATAATTCTAACGGAACGTCCTACAGTCAAGTAGTGACAACTCGAATCTCGTTACTCGAAAAAATTGACAGCTCAATTTTTTTTATTCCGCAAAAAATTCTCGTAGCACTCCTTGTTAACTCGAATGTAAAATTATGATAAACAGCTTAGTCAAAGTATATTATATCTGTTACATTTAGGTATTCTCGTAAACAGATTATGGTCTGTCTACGCAAATTTATAATAGAGATAATAAACGAGTAGATGGAAAATGATTATAAGTACATGCACAAATGAACATGTATAAGTTAATGTAAAAAACTCGTATAACCATGTACTGGTTAATATATGTCTACCTAGAGTCATGTATATTTTGTATGCTGTCTTATTATTTTTTTGATAACATGCATCAAAAATGAAAATTAAATCATAGCTGACAATGTTCATGTGGTTCATTAGCGAAGAAAAATAACCGGAAAAATCAAAAAGCCGTGAAAAAATTTAATATCCCACCAAATATGGTGGCAACATTTTTAAAAGAATAAAACGATATTTTGAAAATAATAGCAGACAATTAAGGTAACAATAAACTATCGATATCAGCCGAATATCCCAATATAAAGGTATGTTTATTCGAATGGTTTACTCCATGTAGAGATAAAATTATACCTATAAGTAAACCAATACTAAAAAAAAAAAAAAAAAAAAAAATATGTAAAATATTTCGCAATTCAATCTGAATATTCTAATTTTGAAGCAAGTAATGGATGATAAAAATTTGAAAAAATCGTCATAACGTAATTTTTCGTAAAATATGTAGCGAAAGTGCTTCTCTAAATGACTCTGAATGGTTTGGAAAATTGCCAAGTATCATAAAAGAAGATTCTCCAAATGATGTATTCAATATAGATGAGACAACATTGTTTTTCAAACGCTTACCCGATGGCATTTTTATTTTAAAAGGAAAAAATTGTTCCTGTTGCAAACAAAAAAAGGCACAGAAAACAATTCTTTTATGATTAAATATGTTTAATTTCGAAAAAATTAAACAAATTACAATCGGAAAATCAGCTAAACCACAATATTTTAAAGGAGTTAAGAGTTTACCATTAGATAAGGAGTCAAATAAAAATGTATGAATGATTGATGATTTGTTTAAAAATTTGCTAATATTATGTTTGATGACATTTCACTGTTTTTTTAATTTTTATTAACGATTTAAAATTCATTTCCATTATTTTTCTACTTTTTTCTTTTTGTCAATCCATTGAATCGAATGTGAATCAATCGAACGGTCAATAATTTTATGGCATTCATATTATATAGTTCTGATTGAACTGAAAACTTATAAAATGTTTAGATTTAAAAAAAAAATGTAATTATTTATAGAAATATGATTTTCCTAGACAATTATCTATTTGGACATATTTTCATTAAAAGACTGGAGTGATAATCACGATAAAGTTTTTTGTTGAAAAAACCATGAGTAATTTTTTAAAAATAAAAAAAAATTATTTACTTGTTTTTTACTTTAAAATTATATGAGTATATATATGAATGCTCTATTACATGTCATATATATCATAATAATTACAATATACAATGTGAAAGATAAACTCGCACATTGTTTCAAACGAAATATCATTAAACATTAAAACATTTTTTGAAACACAAAGTAATAATTCATTAAGAAATAACCAGCAAATATGTCTAATGAACAATCAAAATATTCACTCACATAAATGTTTACATAATTAAAAATTAACTTGTTTCAGTGCCAGTTTAATAGTTACATTTTTTTTCATTCTAGCCAAGTATATAATTTTCAACGTATTCGCAGTATTTAATTTTTAATTTTCTTGCCAAAATAAAATTTAAAACTACACAAGTTTAAAAATGTATGTAAATAATTATTCTGCTTTGGATTACAACTAACCTGTAGTATATACTCGTATTTCTGTATTTTTTACATATTTGTTATAATATTAATATCGATTATAAAGAGTGTGTGAATAACTTAAACAAATGAATAAATCATGAGTATCTTTAGAATTTAAAACAAACAGGTATTGAACAATAGTTAACAGTTATTTTGAATTTTTTTTTTTTTGTATTTTTTTATATCAAAACTTGTTATCTATAAACTAAAAAAATAATATAACTGAGAAAAACCATCGGCTTAGGTTTTGTGATATAGATACCTTACAGTTATCTCACAAGTTAAAGCAATAAATTGGATTAAAAGTCCGTAGGGGATTGAACTTGAACACAAACACAACCGAGGTGATCTTAAGAACCTTCGATCAACACCCGTAATAAATAAAAATAATACAAATCGAAAATTTGTTTCAACAAACGTTAAATATACATCTTCTAGTATGACATTTACACTATTAATTTTATTGATTGTGTTCTATAGTTGTTTCAACTAACTTGGAAAATAATATAGATTTAAAACTGAAAAAATCGTTTTCCCTCTTAGTTGATATAAATACCTATATATAGTTTAATTTACAACAAATAACATTAATTATTTTATATTTTTCTCGCAATAAAATTTCATTTGTTAACACGAAACTATTATTAAATCTATATTATTATGATGAAAAAATAATAATTAGGTTAATTTTTAACGGAAAAATGTTTTAATGTAAATACATATTCATTCGTTTTTTTTTTTTTTATCAATACTTGACTACTATCATAACCGCGGTGACTATGGTCATTGGATGAGAATTAAAATAATGTACAAATTATAATAATGAACTAAAATACTAATTATAAGTCGATAAGATAATTATATTAAATAATATTCAGAAGGATAGCGATGATGATGAATTTTATTGAGATGGCAATTGAGTTAGGTTTCTGGTTGAGTTCTGTAGCCAGTAATTCCGGAATAATAGTTTTTTCTCTCACATTTATTTATATTCATGCGTTAGCTACTTTAATAAATGCAATTTATTTGAAATTGAGTACGTTAATAATTATATTTCATATTGAAATTATAATTTATAATAAAATTAAATTAAAATGTCGTTAATACTTGTAAATTAATATGTATGAAAATAGTTAAATAGTCGCGATTTTATAGATTTTGTACACCAAATTTTGATATATGAGTACCTGATGATGAATTATTAATTCAAAACCCATTGTAGATAACAAATATAATAAGAATCCAGGCATTTATGTATTTATTAATTTATTTATTTATTTATATATTATAATTTTATTTCATATCATAAATGCATTACATAATAACACGTGTTTTTAAATTATAAATACATAGCTATTATTATATTATATTCATGTTTTTCAAACGAAACCAACTAATATAGTTGTAGCAAAACTATGGGTCAACTATATTTACTAATAAATTTATAAATCCCTCTTTAATTTTATTCATCAAATCCTCATAAAATCTATAACCTTAAAATAACAACTTTAAGGTGACTTTTACTACATAATAAACAAATAATAGATCAATATACCCACCCTTACTATAGCAGAATTTATAAATAACAATAACAAAATATAAGAAAATGTATATTTATTAATCTCTAACTATAGCTGACTAAATTCCAGTTAATATAAATATTTTAAATACTTGAAATGAGTTTAAAAATATAAAATAAAATAATTAAAAAATATATATAGAAAGTTTATTGAAAAAATTATATTGCTTTCATTAATATAATACTGTTTGGTATTAGATACATTGTTTTTAAAAAAATATTACATATTCAACTGAAATTTAACTTTATTTATTTTATTAAACGTTATGAGGTATGAATTATTCTGAAAAAAAAAATTAAATAAGTAAATAAATATGCGTTATTTAAATATAAATGCAAAC